AAGTACTTATAGCACTTTGTAATTTTTTTTTTATATATATATATATAATAATTTTAATAAGTATAATAGGTATAATTATTCAATCGTTATACATAAAGTTCAATAACTCGAAACCTACTATGAACATTTTCAATTAAATCATCTAATTAACAAGTTCAATTATAATAGTGGTTTACATTAGAAAAAATAAGCTGTATGCGGTAATGTATGCAACGGATAACTCCTTAAATTATGGTATGTATTAAACTTTAAACAGCTTAGTTTCTCGAACATTAAGTTTGTAGATTAAATGTATTTAAAGAATATTCTTAAAAATACAAAAATCAGAATTTGAACAAAATAAAAACAAAATGTCAGGGATTTAGCCTGGTGAATCGTACAAATGTGAAAAATGTGTAACCCAGATAGTYAGGAAAAAAATACACGAACAACTTTGAAAATGAAAACATTCACTGATCAAAGTTTCAACTATAATATTATAATGAAAATATTAAATTTGTATTAGGGCGCACAATATTAATTGTTATATGGTATATATTCAAAACAGATGACGATTTATACTTCCCTTTATGAATAAAAACATTTTATTCGACTCACGTGAAGCAGTCATGTATATAATATTGCAATCAGTTGGCGGGTAAAGCTAAAACATATATGTACATATAGCATCACTGTACACACGCATGCCATGTACACGCATTATTGCGTTTTCGAACACGAAATGATTATAAATTATGAATTTTCAATGAGATTTAAAACGAACGAAAACAAAAGCGCCGGAATAAAACATAATAATATATTATAATTGATTAACTGAAGTTTTTGGCGCGTTACACCAAATTGGTTTACTCCATATAGGTACACACGCGCCGCATGTTTGTGAAATAATTGCTGCCGCCATTTTGAATGGAGATTTGAATAGGACATTATACGATGAAACAATGATAACAATAACTATGGCGGTCAAAAGTCACGTACGTTCACAACGTCTCTGGTCCCTCCTTATGTAKTAGTTAAAATGCGCTGTGACTTTTAGAYGTTAAACGTAGGTATAGGTATACTGTTCGTGCATCAAACATAAACGCGTTTTGATTAGGAAAAAGTGTCAATTTCGACATTTTAAATCTAAACATATGTACAATAGGTACATATTATGTTTGACTGTATTCACGCCAAAGACGGTTGATTCTATGGACTGTATACCGTTAGTTCCAGCTGTTAGGAGATTCTGGTACGGAGTAGCCTTTACCTTGTGAGTGTCTCTACTGCGCATAAGTCTGCCCGTGATGGGTCTCGCTACGTTTTCGGGAGGGAGGGGGGTATGGCTATGCCGTTAACTATACCAGGCTTGCGCCTCTACTAGTGGGTGGAAGTTTGAACTGTTTGCGATCATCCCCCTCGTGAGGTGGATAGAGTATAGACTTACATAGTAATTATTATTGGTTGATTTTATAATTTTTATTAAATTTAAATAAAATATTTATTTAGTTTAGTTATTTATATTAAATTATTTAATTTTTTTGTTCATCTTRTTGTCAATTATAATGTTATCTTTTTATTGCGAATCGCAGAATATGCTGTAGCTGCTACAACACTCCTTGAGAGATAAGTGATAATAATTACTATTGATAATAATTCCCGGCTATATTCCTGATAAAATATTTCAAATTTGTCATTTTGTTATCAGTCAACAGAATTTATTCAATTTAATGTTGTTTAAATATAGTTTTTATAGTTTGTATACTACCTAAAATGACTAAGGTGATTTGTTTTTAATAATGTAACATTTCAGTGACACAAATAGATTGTAGAATAGACTAGACCTAAATTCCAAAGGATAAAAAAAAAGGTTCTACGCTCAGATCTGAATCCCATCATGTAAATTAATAATATTTTTAAAAAAAAACTGCCAATTCAAAAAGTAACGGTAACCGAAAAACGCTCAGTGTAGACGGTCCCGTACAAACGAATGTATACTTAATGTTGTGCACGACGGAAACGCAGCAACCAAACCGCATAACAACGCGCGGTTGATTTCAGACCTAATTCGGACAGTTCGGAGAATCGGTCCAGTTTGGCCCAGATAACGCGGTTTATATGKTAATTATAGATGGCAATCGATTATCGGCAACCGAMAAAACGCATAGTGTGATCCGTTGCCCCTCATGACCGGTCTGACCCGTGCTCTACATAATACATAGAATTGCAGGTTTTTTTTTCGCGACGATCGATCAGTCAGAATGCCGACCGACTGTATTCCAAATCTCATGCTATTATGTAACGTATTTTGGCCAACGAGCCCCAAAAATAATACACATAAATAACCCACCTGATAAATCCATTACAACAAACAAAAGACCGTGATAACATCAAAGAAAATACTTTGCGATGCGCGAACAGACATCTAGCTATTTCCAACAAACAATCGATTATCGTTTTCTAAACAGAAAGTAATAAAGGATCAATCATCAACGATAATGTAGGAAAGTTCAAATTTCTTTTTAATTATTATTTTTATTGTATTATAACTAAAACTGCGTTGAACCTATTTTGGTCGCAAAATAGTTACAAATGTTCTCAAAGGTTAAAAAAAAAAATAATAAAAAAAGATGACTCTTTTTAATTATGTAGGTACTCTATGACTCAAAAATAGTGGACATTCAATCAAGAATAAAATAATATTTTTTTTATTCAACGCCTCGGCAGCCCAATATAATAAAAGTCGCATGATACAAACATATTACAGAGTTGACGTTATTCAGTTAGCCGTGGTAAGTGTATCTTTAATATGAGAYTGAATTGAATGGGAAAAAATTCCAACAAACATAATAGTTCATGTACAGTTTCGTTTTAAACATAAACTTGCACGAAACTATCATATTCGCGAAGCTCTGTGTTATTACGTTCACTGCAACGGTTGTTTCACAATCATTAGCAAGCACCTACCTATATATATATATAATAAAGCCAAGGAACAAAACCGTTGATCATCCCGGCGAAATGTGAACCGRGTAGGTATATGTGCAGAGAGGATGATGCTCTTGTCGTCATTACCTACCTACRAGAATTATTATCGATCGATCGGCAGCGCGAGGTGAGTATTTAATAAGAGTATTTAATAAGAAGGCGCAAAAATCGTGGACAACTATAAATTACTTTAGCCGACTTCTACTTTATATACCTATAGTACTTATTGTTCTTTATAATCACGTTCAGCGACACAATAACTGCCATGGCGACGAAGGCGTAATAACCGYTTCATCTCGAGCAATCGCGTCACCGAATAAACAATATATGGACTGACGTTGTGTTAACAATACCTACCTATAATACGCGCGATATACGACAATTGGGAAACTTTTTGGATTTTTCAGAGTTTTTTTGTGTCCCGTACYGAATCCTCAGGGTTGGGCCGTTGGGCGGAAAAACTGTGAAAAGCGATTTTCAATAACAATAATAATATGGGTATAATTATAACTACAGTATCTATATAGTATGATATTTACCAAAAAACTAAATGCGTTTAGCATGCTAACCATGGTATCAGCGGCGTAGCCAAGCCGCACAGGGGACATCCCCACATTGGCCGTGTCATATAATATATAAAAAATAATCGTAAATTTATTAAATGTACCGGTTGAGAGTTAAAATTAAAAAAAATGCAATGTTTATTGTTTATCAAAACACCATATAGCTAGATTGATAAGCGTGTCATTATCATCAATATCTTCCAAATATTTGGAAAATTAAAAACACTGTTATTTGAATGTTATTTGTTTATTTCATTTTTTTTTGCACTCTCCCCCTTGTAGAATTCCTGGTTACACCACTGCATGGTACTTAGTTATCTGGGATGATGTAAAATTTATATAATATAAAATATAATAATATATAATGACATATATAACGATAGTAATTAATTATGCATACCAATTCTTAATGTTAATTTTCYATTATCTTATCTAGAAGTTTGATGGAAACATTCAGGAACACTTTATAATAGGTAATGAAAAAAATAATATATATATATATAACAATAGTATAAAATAGTTGACACGATGGTCATTATAGTCTTCACTCATCAGACATCACTATTAGGTTCATTAAATACGTTTTATTTTGATAAATTGCAATACTAAATTAGTAAATTATTCAATGATAAATTGTTACTATCAATTATCAGTATGGGTAAACGTTTTTCTGCAGGTATCATTTTATGTTAAGTACACAACGAATTAACGGTAGATAGCATATATACAATACGAGTACCATAAATATGTATGAATCTAGTAATTTATCGTCTTAAAAATATACTTATATGATAAAAAAAAAACTTAATAATCAAATACAAGAATAATGTTTCACCCGAAAATCAAATAACTTAAATTTTCAAAAAAAATCTAAAACTGGCGTCCCGTTGGCCCGAGGGTGATGCTGTTCGARTGTGCTGAATTCCGAAGGCGATCAAAAGCGATGGTTAGAACGGATCCCACTCGAACTGACGGTGGCTTGGTCGGTGGCGATTAT